CGACGGGCGGGAAGGCGCCCCGCAAGCAGCTGGCCACCAAGGCTGCCCGCAAGAGCGCGCCGGCCACGGGCGGCGTCAAGAAGCCGCACCGCTACCGGCCCGGCACGGTGGCGCTGCGCGAGATCCGGCGCTACCAGAAGTCCACGGAGCTGCTGATCCGCAAGCTGCCCTTCCAGCGCCTGGTGCGCGAGATCGCGCAGGACTTCAAGACCGACCTGCGCTTCCAGAGCTCGGCCGTCATGGCGCTGCAGGAGGCCAGCGAGGCTTACCTGGTGGGGCTCTTCGAGGACACCAACCTGTGCGCCATCCACGCCAAGCGCGTCACCATCATGCCCAAGGACATCCAGCTGGCCCGCCGCATCCGCGGGGAGCGCGCATAAGGTGCTGCTTAACTCCAGTTTGAGACCATCGAAAACCCAAAGGCTCTTTTAAGAGCCACCACAACGTCACTAAAGGGCTGTAAATTCCTTATTAGCGGTAGGAAGTTTTTTGGGTGGCCTTGCAGTCAAGAATCTACCGTGTTAAGTAAGTACTAAACATACAATGCTTAGTGTTTATCGTATTTTGTTGAGTTTAGGTCCTTACTTTTGCAAAACTAGTGGAGTTATTTTAAAGGGGTTTTGCTAAAACCAGTTTTGGTTTAGGGTAAACTCCTTTCTATGTGGTTTTCCTCCTGTAATTTTGTATTTGTGAAACAGTACTGTTGTGAAAGGGACGGTGCTTAAAAGACCGGTGGATTTTGCCTCTTAGTGTACGTCTTAAAATCATTTGTTCCAACTCCGTAATGGAAGAAACTTCTATAGGATCTTGCTCTCGTGTTTTGAGTAGTTAAACACTAAATGCCTCTTGTATATTGTGAATGTTTTTCTGCCTTTGCCCCTCTACCGTTTTTCAGGTTTTTTTGCTTTATTCTGCAATATTTTATTTTCCCCCTCACTCTTGGTTTTGGGAGGGCGCATGGAATTCACTTTGTTTCTGAAGGCGCAAAAACTCCTTTCCCGCTTTCCCCGGCAGCACTGGCGGTAGCTTTTCTCAGTGTTTTATCAATCCTGGTCGTGAGTGATGTCCTGTGGACATTTTCAGCCCATCTCAAGCATTACTCTTTATTTCCGAGATAAATGAATTTCTAAAATTGGAGGGGATGGTGTTTGTATGGAATGTAAGGTGGAGGTAAGGAAATTTTATGATTCTGAGTCCCTTTTCCAAGTACTCTGCTCCTTGCTGATGTCTTGTCTAGGACCACACTCGTGGCATCTTTAATTTTTAGATATTTTGGGTTGCATCAATTTTCTGTCATTACTGAGGCTCTCAAAAAGATTTGTTCAAGGTTTATTTTTAATAAGAATTTGTGCTTGTCAAAGCACCAGCCATGTGCTTTCCAAGAAGTATCTCTGCTTTAAAACGTGGTGTGTCTAGAATAATTTTTAAATGGAGGCTCTTCCCTATTCATTGTGTTCTGTGATTTTTGTGAACCTACCTGGAAAATGGATTTCTCCCTGACTGTAAATTCAGTCACACACACCCCCCTTTGCTCTCCTAGGAAACAGATCTGTTGTTGCCTGATAAATGTACATTTGTAAAATTATTTCTGACTTTTTGGCACCTTTATATTCACTTATACTGCAGGTAGTTTTATGTAATTTGAGGAGCCTGCTGTTCCATTAAATTACTGCAAGTTATGTCCCTTTGGCTTTTCGATGCTACAAATCTGTAAAATCTTAAAGCCGTGGCTTTAAGAAGCGTTTGGATTGAGTAAAACAGCCTTCATTTATACTAGAAAATAAAGAGCCACTGAGAAGTGCTTAGAGGAAATATTTCTCCTGGAAAGCCTAAGATTGTAAGACTCTTAATTTGCTCTTAATTGCTGATAAGTTTCATTTTAGGAATATTTCTTCCTCTGTGTCAGAAACTTGGACTCTGCAGCAAAATCTGACCAATCCAGTGCCTCGACACCATTTTCTTTCCTCTGTTTTTCTCACTTTCAGCCATTTTCTGTTTCTGAACCTGAGGGTTAAAAGAGGGGGGAAGGAATCGGGAGTAGAGCTTTGGGAATTACGAAGTCTCTGCTGTGATTTCTTCATTCCCCAGATTTGTTCATTGATGCAGGATTTGCATTTTTACCAACAGATTTTTTAATTTCTGTAGATTACCACCGGGATTGCGGAAATGAGTTTTACTGAAAGCTAACTCGTTTCATTTAACCAAGATGGCCAAAGATGTTTACCAAGACATGCTTGGATATGCTTATAATAAAAAAAATTAAAACTCAGGTAAAATAACTTTTTCTAATAGTTTATTTAGAAGATATTTGATGTCTAGTATCTTAAATAAGCTATTGGTCAGAGTGCTTGATTTCAGCAAAATGTAGCATCAGAAATTTTTTTTTTGCATCTTCAAGAAGCAAATTATTTTTGAGTAGTGAGACAGGGAAACAGGTTTTATTTGCCTTAATCTCTTGTCATTTTCCTCCAGGCTTTTGAAGACCCCATAATGTTTTACAAAATTAAGTATTATTTGGATTCATTCAGAGAGAGTTACATGTTTGAATTGCAATGAAACCCTAACACTTCTGCTGAAAAAGAAAGATGTGCAATGATTTTTATTTTTTCAGGGCTCATATAAACTCGAGTCTGAAGTAGCTTTGGGGTGTTATACACAGGAAACAGGAAGCATGTAACACAGGTGACTAAGTGCAAGATTCCCTAAATCCAAGTGAGAATAAAAGTGGAAGTTCCTCTGGTTCCAGCAAGGTTCAGCTGCATTTCTTTGCTTTTTGCAAGGGAGCCTGAGATAAAAGAATGCTGCCAAGTCAAAGCTGGATCTGAGCAAGACCTCTGTGCTGACCAGCTGAGGATTGCCTTGAGAGTTGCTATTGGTAATCAAGGTGCTTTTGCAGGTGATTTTAGATGCTCAGCAAGGTATCAGCTAGGACTGTAGCTTGCCCTTCAGCCACTCTCCATGGATCAACTGGCTCAAATTAAAATCATGGCTTGGAAGAATATTCTTGTGAGTCCAATGGGTAAAATAGAGGATAGCTACTGGCAAATACTTCATTTCATCCAAATACATAAAAAAGTCTGATGACAGCATCTTTGTAGAACATAAATATTTGAATCTGTCCTACTTGATAGCTATTAGTTTCTGAAAAAAATCTGAACAGATATATACCCATATGAAAGCAAGTTTCTCTTTTGAACTAACTATTGTAATGTAAATATTTTGTAAAAGTGGTTTCCATGCAAGCCAGTATGCAAAGAGACATCCTAAACATGTTTTCATCTGCAAGTCCCTCCTATGGGCTTTTTCACAATCTGAATCACCTGTTGGTTACAGCCTTCAGTAACCAGCAGCAGTGGAGTTTGAAGTTGGCCAGCCACAGATCTCCTACAGGCCTGATCAGAACTGCCCTGCTGCATCATTGCCTCTCTTCTCTCCTACTTTCAAGTCTTGGTGCATCTTTGAGCTGGGTATCAGCATCTGTCAGGTTGTAGCTGTGCAATCAACGTTGTCACAACACTCTGAACACTTAAGATTTTATATATTATAAAGAATTTTGTCAGCTACTCCTATTATGGAATTAATTACGCTGGCTGCAATAACAGGGCCTGACCCTAGGATCCTGTTGATTAATGCAACAATGATTTATTTTCCAAATGAAAGGTTTCCAATTTGTCTTTTTTTTAGTTCTCAGGTTACAGCTTTAGCTGGGTGGATATGCAGAGGGAGCACTACACCAAAAACTAACTTTCAATCCCATTCAGGCCACCCAGTGCTCAGCTCCCAGGTTCGTCAGTAGCTTCTGGTCAGTTGTCTCTTTTGTTGGTTTTGTGGGGGTTTTTGGGATTTTTTTGGGTTTTTTTTATCTGACATTACCTCAATTCTTGGAGTTGTTTCCTTGGTCCTTCCTTACCTTTTTCATTCTGCTTTGGGCTAGTTGAACATTAGCAGCATTTTAAAAAAGCTTTTACTTTGGTCAGCTCTTGTGGCCTAATGCTGTAAGCACTCCAGCCATGAATGCTAAAATAATTAGTATATCGTGAGAATATGGAGAAAACAGTTAATGAAAATGGCCTGTGTAATACTGTGAAGTAGCACAGGGTGGAAATCTCTGTTCTCAGTTAAGTTGTTATGGCAATACCAGTTTTTAGTAATAAAAACAACAAACTGAAGGAACATTGATATATATAAACAATACAAACTGAGCTTGAATTAAACCAGTTTGTACTTTAAAAATGCAAGCCCATCTGGCTGGGGGCCTCAGCCCCCAGTCTGTGATGACTGATAGGGTTCAGCAAAACAAATCCTGCAGCTCCAGGGACACTGGGGTGGCAAAAGCCATGCCCCAACCTTGCTCACTGCACACAGCTTTCATCTCTGCCACCCATGGTGCCCTGCATCTCAGTCTAAAGGTGCTTTTAGGTTTGGCTCCAGAGGCACTGGTGCCACCAAGGACCTGCTGAGGTGAACATGGCACTGCCCCAGTGTTGCTGTGGCAGCAGATGTGACACAAAGCAGATCCCTAAGAAACTTCATCCAAGCCATTATTGTGCCCATACGTAGCGTTTCTATACCCTTCTGACCCCATAGTGCACCCCATTCCATTGGCCATCACCACACCACCCCTCAAGTCCATTGGTGGAAGCATTGTTTTGAGAAAGTGTCCCCAAAAATCCAAAATACAGATAGATTTTGTTTTATCATGGTGTTTTTCTCAGCACAGATGTTCCTTATTTTTCTCTATCTTTATCTTCTTTTTCTTCTCACACAGACACAGGAATTCTGCTGGCTTCTTCTTTCTGTTAACTCTTTCATCTGACCCTCAGCCTGCTGTGGGCCCTCTCCACACCCCAACACTGCTTTCTCCACACCTTTCTCTTCCAGGCCATCCCTGGTGCTGGGCACCTCGGCCTCAGCCCAAGCCTGCTCTTAGGGAAAGGTTTCAGACTCACAAAACTCACACCTGCAGGGACACTGGGGCAGCAAAGAGCATGTCAAGGTCAGGGTGACCCTGCCCCAACTCTGCTTCCTCCTCACCTTTCTCATCTGGGTCACCTGTGGTGCTTTCTCAAGTTTACATGTATTGACAATGTTCAGTTCCATATCTGTTTCCCAGTCCTTCATGTTCTTTTCCCCTTAAACACACCGAGGTTTTGCTACTCCATTAACATGAAGATGCTTTTTTAATGGGCTTGATCACTTTGTCTTTACACATCAGCCAAGTCTGTACTCTGTGGTGCTGTCCTCTGTTCTCATGTGGTGGTTAATGTAATTGAGATATTAATATACCCAATTATATATCCTCTGTGTCCTTATTGCTTCTCTCTCCACATTTTATTCTTGCTCATCACAATCTGTTTTTGAAGATCTTCCATTTCACTGCATGCTATCCCCATGCCATGAATATTTGATGTATTTATGAGTATCCCCTTTCTCTCTGCCCACGGATTTTTATTTTTATGCTATTCCAAGCACAGCACTTTTCCATCAAGATGAATCTTTAATGCTATGCAAAATTTTGGCCTGTAAGAGCTTCAACTTGTGATGCCATCAATAGGAAAGTAATTGATGCAGAGGGCACATGATATACTTTTCAGTAAGTGTTCCATATGATCCCATTGATTTTAGGGCAGTATGCCAATGTTGTAATGAAAACAAGGACCTAGAGCCTAAGGCATGATGTAAGAAGCATGACAAAAAAAAAACAAACAAAACCAAACACAAAAAACCAAAAACAAATAAACAAAACAAACAAACAAGAAGTGTTTCTGAGACATAGCTTTTCAGGAGCAGCCAAAAGTCATCCATAAAATCTTTGTGTGTTTTAGATGCCAATTCAGTGTGCTGAGGTCTGAATGCTTCCTGAGTTAATTCAGACTGCTGCTAATATAGGAAAAAGAGGTAAGATCTCCACAGCACCAATGCAATGATAAATAGCACTTGAGAATTTCTGAATGCTTTGCTGCAGTCAACTAGCTCTGTCAAAATCATTGTCACACTGAGATTGAAGGACTTCTAAGTAACAAACAGGGCCAGCTGCAATTCAAGTTAATTATGTTTTCAAGTAGAAAATTAAGGAATGTTTTCTTCCCCTCCTTTTTCCTAAATGAAGTATGGTCTTGGTTGCTAAAATTGAATGTTATTTTCCTTATTTGGGCCACTTTTGATCTTCCCATCAGTTCTCCCAGGCAGACTCATCTGACAGGTTCTTATTGTTTTGTTTTTAGGAAAAAGGAACGTTTTTGGAAAAAAATTGAAATCATTACATGGATATGGACTAGTCTACTTCCAGGATAGATGCATTTAAAACTTTAAGAGTTGTAACTATGCAGACACCAAAGAGAAATGGAGGTGTTGCCAACATTTGTCACTCTCAGGCTCCTTTGGTATTCTCAGTCTAGGCCAATGTAACTGAAATTTTTCCAGAACAAAAGTGTCATCCCCAGCTCTGCATCCAATGTTTGAAAACTAACAGAGTCAGCAGCATTTCCAGGCCAGTCCTTGCTGTTACCTGTAACTGGGGTCTTTAAATGGGAAGAATAGGAAATTCTTAACATCCTTACAAAATTTATCTTAAATTCATTAAATTTAATGCCCCTGAAATGCATTGCTGTAAGACTGCATCTGAAGTATTTCATAATACACAGGATTTTGCAAGCACCTGTATATGTTGTATTTAGGACTTTCAAGTCCTAAAACTTTATGTCCTCAGCTGTTTAGGAGGTGAGTCTGGTTTGCTTTTTTTAAACACATTATAAATAATGTTTCAGAGTTACTTTTTATCCTCCTTTGTTTTTTGCTTTCTGAATGTAATAGGCTCATGTGACTGGGCGGTGTCACACACGTCCTAATGGATCAATCACTTTCCTGTAGAAAGACTTCAGTTTAAATGTAGGAATTAAATAGGAAGTGGTGATTGTAAGGAAGTGATCAATTAGGAAAGCCAAAATGGCCTCATGTTAGGGAAGAATAAAAATCAATTCAACTCTAATACATCCTTAAGTGCTGGAGTCACAATTCCAAAACACGCAGTTGCCTAAATTATAAAATAGATTCTATCAGTAGACTTACAGCTTCATAAAAGAAGGCTGAAGACTTTTGAACAAAGTTGTCTGCTGGAGAAGGAAATAGAAAGAGTTAAAAGATAACCACAGATATTTAAACAAGCAAGTAAAAACACCATTGAACCCAAACCCAGAATTGTTTCATTATGTTCCTGTGTTTGGAAAAAGTAATTTGGATAAATCTATCTTATCTTATAAAAAAACCAGCAAATTCCTTTTTGAGCATGTATCTGCCATGCTTTTGACAGGATAAGCCAGAGGAGGTAAAGAAGGACATAAATTTCTTACCCTAAAATGTGGGAGTCAATAATAAGAATTAAGGATGCTGGGGCATAAGGGCATTGTTAAAATATGCCCTTAGAAAAAGGGCAATTTTTCTTCTCTTTTTCAAATAAGTTGCATAAAATTTGCCACTGAAAATATTTTATAATGCTATGAATTCTCAGAATATGAAGACCAAATGCAAATTAAAACAGAAACCACACCAAAATAAAAACACTAAAAGGTTCTTCAGGAAATTCTTCTTTTCACACTTTTGAAGACTTATTTCTATGTTAATATTCCTCTATTAACTAAAAAAATTATTTATTATTACCAAAAATCAATAGAAATCTGTGAAAATTTTTGCTATTAGGTAAAATGCCAAATGGCCCCAAATGTTTTTTTAATTGTGAAATTGAATTGAATCTCAATATAAATTAGAGTATCTGTGTCAGAAAGGAAAAAACTACTATTTTATGCAATTCTGCCTTAATCCAGGAAACTTGGTAGTACTAGAACATTGATCTGTAGTTTAGTATTGATGGTTAAAAAGAGGAGTAGTGTTCCTATTTTAAATGGTGCATGTTTAACAAGGACATAACCCAAAAATTCATGTGAGAAACTTGAAATAGTCCTTCACTTCCACTACAGTGCAGAACAAGAACAAGTCTCCTACTTCCCTAGTAGGAAGTGTTATAGATACATATTATATTATTGGCTTTTCACAAATATTAAAATGAAAATGAAAGGTTAGACAACTTGTTATATTAATCTAGTTCCTTCTGTTACTGATGAAACTTAGAAATAGCAGGATAATATACATATATGTTGAGGAATGGCATAGTATTAAAACCAAAACTACTTTTGATTGTATAAACCAAAGACTGAAAAAGATAGCTAGAGACCTCCATTCTTAGATTTTCTTGTCCAGATGAAGACAGCAGTGACCAGAACTCTGGGGGGAGGAATTTATTGCATTTCTGGTATCAGGGAATGTAAATCTCAATGGTGCCAAGAAGATTGATCTATTGGGAAGGGGGCAAGAGAAAACTAAACAGAAGAACACCAAAGATCCTAAGAAGAATGTATGAATATGTATGAGAATTTATGGATATGTAATAAGGTTCTGTTTTTAAGGGACAATCCTTTGTTAGTAGGGGTGCTCTCTTGGCTGAATGGAGACACCTGGCTTTATCTGTATAGTTTATTTTTATCTCCTAATTTTCTTTTTTATTAAACTTTTAAATCCTATAAAAATTATGTGAACCTCGTTATTCACAGAAGCATTCCCAGAAAATATTGCTGATTCTTCCTTACAATCTGTTCTTTTAAAATCTTCTAGGCTCTGAAATTTCCTAGAAATAGTTAAAATGATGCTAGATAGGTAAAGGTATGACAGAAAATAGGTACATGTTAGCACAGGAGTGCACTTGGGTTTCCAGGCAAACAAACACACAAACAAAGACAAATAAAAAAAAAAACCAACACAGGCCTGTTCGCGCTTTAATCCTCTCTAGGGAAATTCGACATTACATTAAAAAAAAGGGGGAAAAAAAATAAAAAAAAAAGGTGAAAATCCTCTAGCCATAACACGGCTTGAGCGTTTCCTTCCGCTCCTGTTTAAAATAAAAAGAAGTAAGTAACATAAAGAAGCTGTAGGTCACAGAGTAGAAGGTTGTCAGACACGATATAAATTTTCCCGAGGAAAATGTCTATGCAGGCAAATTCTAATAAACAAAAATAAAAAATTAAAAAGGAAGACTCGAAACGTCCAAAGGAAAAGCAGAAGCCGGGACAGGCGGGCAGGGAGCAGCGGAGGGGCGGGAGCGCCGGCCGAGTGCCCGCATTGGTAGGATTTTGCCGCAGACCCGCGGGGAAGGGAAGGGGGTGCCGGAAGAGGGCACCGCAGTCCCTGCTCCTGCTCCCTGTCCCCTGGCGGAGACGCAGAGCTCCCGGAGAGCCGGCACGGCTCAGGGGCACGGCCGGGCCGGGCCGGGATGGGGGAGCAGCAGAGAGAGGAGGGG